CAGAGTCAAAAAGACTTGGTTTATCTCTCTTGAGTCATGAAGTCTCATGTCTTCACAAGTACATACCCATTCTCCACTGTAGAATGGCGGGGTTCAAACCATGAACACCAATAGGAGTCTCCCAACAAGAAACTCCACCTAGAAGGCCACCTAGTCCTTCGTCGACCATCTCGATGCTAACAAACATCAAGGGTAACAAGTCTTCAACAACACGTTGATAAAACCCAATCAAGAACATTGGATTCACACAAAGCATACTCTTACTATTGGCAATCTAGGCTTGGATGGTTCTCACAAACTTCACAAAAGTGCCTCAAAACCAAGGTGAAAGAGCAGCTCCAAATGAGTTAGTGAAGGCACTTATACATGGTTGGAATGACTCGCTAGCCATGGAAAAAAGTTTGCAAACCCAAACATCACCGAATAACCTGCTGAGCATCACAAAGTCACACCGAATCATACATTGATCCAAAACAGGAAAAATGGAATATTTTGGCATATTCCAACAACCAGAATGGAATATGCCAAAATATGCTTCACTGGATGATCTTCTAGGTGCCTTGAAGTCACCACTACATCACATGGTGCAGTTTTATGACTTGGCCAACTTGACACACAGTTGAGGCACACCATCACTGAATGATCCACTGGGTGTCACAAAGTCGACTCCAGATCATATAATGCACACTAGTAACTTGGCCACTTGACAGTTGACACACAGTCAAGGCAGGGCCTCACTAGATCATCCATTAGGGTGTCGCAAAGTCACCACTTAATCATGGTTCACATCAGTGGGTTAGCCATTTGACACTAAGTCAGGGCTGGACCTCATTGGACAATCCATCTGGGTGTCATGAAGTCACCACTGGATCAATACGGTGACCACTTAGTTATTGGGCCAAGTCACAAACTGACTCTGCGCAGTGCCACCGAATGATCCACCAAGCTGGTCCAATCATACCACTCCGGGATGCATATTTTGAGCCTGTTCTCGTCCAATTCAATTTCTTTGAGATCTTTGACTTAGAACCTATCCAATATGGACACTTAGGCTCTAATTCGGTGAGAGTATAACACTTGTGCATATCCAAATGCTCTCAACTCCCATCAAGTTGCATATTTTGGACCCTTCCCCTCCCCCCTAATAGTACACCCAAAGGAAAAAACAAAGCCCTAATACACTCTACATCAAGTGCCTTTGAACACCAAGCTTGCACTTGACCCTATAGAGCCTTTACTCTTCATGAATATCCTTTCCTTCATACTTTTCATCAGTCCATAACATCCTGGGGCTTGGGCTATCCGCACTCATAAAAATCATTTTGTGTTCGACAGAACTTCTTGTTTGGATGGTGCTTTGTCGCTTGCTAAGGAGGAGATGAGGTTCTGGAATGTGGTAGGGCTCAAGGAGTTCCTTATCTCCGCGTCTTGTGCCTACGAAGTTTAATTTGGGCCAGGTCCTGTTTTCAAACTCTATTCCCTCTTAATGAAAACATGCCTTACGGTACAGTCGCGAAAAAAAGTTTTCTCGAGTTAAAGCTTGCACCATAGTGTGTGGAAAATGAAGCTCCCAATCTCTGCTAGCACGGATTCTATCTAGCTTCTCAAAAGTTAGAGTTTGTAAATTATCGGCCCACGTAAAATACCTTCTGAGAGCTCCAACTTCCTCAAGTTGAACGCATCAATAATGACATTAAAAAGAAAATACAATCTATAATTGAAATTTGAGCTATTCCTTTAGGGCAAAGTTTTTTTTTGAATAAGCCTTTAGGGCAAAGTTGAACTATGATTCCGATAAGAAGGCTTCTTCAAAATCTTTTTGTGCCGGACCATATACGTCACCAGGAGCCATTTTTTCTTCTGTCAATGGAACACATTGCACATTTTTTTAAGAGCATCGTGTTTTGGTTTTTGCTTCCGTTCTCAGCCTTGCATCCCAGATTAGCTTGGAGTGAGCAAAGATGCTTCATAGAGTACGCAGGTACCTGCTGTCGGTAGGCTAGGTTCGGAGTTCAAAATTTTGGGTATGTTTGATACACATGACTTACTAATTGGGGCTAACAAATTAGTCCAAACTAGCTATAGTTGGTTAGCTAATTGACTAACAACTCATTAAAGACTTATCTAAAAAATTAGCCCACCTATTACTATTAGTCCTGAAGAGCGGGCCTGGTGCAAGCGGTACGGTCTTGTCTCCTCGCATTGCACAGACGAGGTAAGGTTTGCCACTGACATCCTTCCTCAGACCCCGCATAGAGCGAGAGCTCTCTGCACTGGGTACGTCCTTTTTTATTACTATTAGCACTCCTATTTAAATGCACTAGAGCTAATTTGAACTAATTTTTAGCTAGCTATTGATTAGACCTTGTATCCAATCAGACCCTTTGTCTGACTATGCAACAATGAGCTACAGCCTGTTCGGTTGGCTGGTTCGTGAAGAAGTACTGCTGACTGGTTTGTGTGAAAGAAAAATACTGTTCCAGCTGAAAATTTACAATCATATACAATAAGCACAAGCCAAACGAACAGGCTGCTACAAGATCCACAATGGAGTCTTGTATCTGAAGAAGCACGAACAAAATCATCCCGTCTGCTAATGGCAAAGCACATTATTCTTCGTCTAGAGTTATTAGTGCCGCATGTTGACAAGATACATCATCCGTACGATTCTGGTTCAAATGCAGGGAACTAGTTCAACATTTGCATATGCTTCTTATTGGTACATGGTTTCCAGAACTTCACTTCTTTGGTGTATCTGCATACTTCCAGGAGGTATGTGCATAGGAACTGTATTGTCTTCCACCAGCCACATCTTCTGCACGTATCTGGCTGGCAATTTCTTTCAGGTCCTCAGCTGTGAGCTTCACCTTCAAGGACTCAACGTTGGCATCTAGGTTATTTGTTTTTGTTGTCCCTGAGAAATTAATGAACACATCTCTCAGCAACCAAATGTAGGATGATTTGACATTGACAATACAAAAACAATCCTGTTCACTGATGACTTGCTTCAGACTTTGAATTGAATAACAAGCACAGATCAATTGACATAAGTTTGAAATTGAACTATATTACAACAACAACAACAACAACAACAACAACAAAGCCTTTAAGTCCCAAACAAGTTGGGGTAGGCTAGAGTTGAAACCCATCAGAAGCAATCAAGGTTCAGGCACGTGAATAGCTGTCTTCCAAGCACTCCTATCTAAGGCTAAGTCTTTGGGTATATTCCATCCTTTCAAGTCTCCTTTTATTGCCTCTACCCAAGTCAACTTCGGTCTTCCTCTGCCTCTCTTCACGTTACTATCCTGGCTTAGGATGCCACTACGCACCGATGCCCCTGGGGGTCTCCGTTGCACATGTCCAAACCATCTCAACCGGTGTTGGACAAGCTTTTCTTCAATTGGCGCTACCCCTAATCTATCACGTATATCATCGTTCCGAACTCGATCCCTTCTTGTATGACCGCAAATCCAACGCATAACATACACATTTCCGCGACACTTAGCCGTTGAACATGTCGTCTTTTCGTATGCCAACATTACGCCGCACCATACAACATAGCAGGTCTAATCGCCGTCCCTATAAAACTTGCCTTTTTAGCTTCGTGGTACCCTTTTTGTCACATAGGACACAGACGTTTGCCGCCACTTCATCCACCCCGCTTTGATTCTATGGCTAACATCTTCATCAATGTCCCCGCCCCTCTCAGTAGCATTGATCCTAAATATCGAAAAAGGTATCCTTCCTAGGCACTACTTGCCCTTCCAAACTAACATCTTCCTCCTCCCGAGCAAGAGTGCCAAGTCACATCTCATATACTCAGTTTTAGTTTCTGCTGAGTCTAAAACCTTTGGACTCCAAAGTCTCCGCCATAACTCCAGTTTACGATTCACTCCGTCGGCTTTCATCAACTAGCACTACATCGTCTCATGAAAAGCATACACCAAGGATGTCCCCTTGTATGTCCCTTGTGACCTCATCCATCACTAAAGCAAACAAATAAGGGCTCAAAGCTGACCCTTGATGTAGTCCTATCCTAATCGGGAAGTCATCCGTGTCTCCATCACTTGTTCGAACTCTAGTCACAACATTGTTGTACATGTCCTTAATGAGTCCGACGTACTTCGTTGGGACTTTATGTTTGTCCAAAGCCCACCACATAACATTCCTTGGTATTTTATCATAAGCCAGCTAAGTAAAAAAACAAACATATCACGAACAACTCAACAGGTTGTACAAAATACTACAAATCCATATTTAGAGAAGGCCGTTTTTATTATAGGATCTACGGAAATGATCTGTTACCTCACTGCTCCCCTTGTGAAGCAGCAAAATTCAAAGAGGATAATTTCAACATTAGACAAAGCTATTTGTGTTCGTTTCCTATAACATATGAATCATTTTGCACATTTCACTTTTCTCAGAAAGTATATACAGGAAACTTTCTAATTATTCATCTGGTGCTCTTGTTTATCTTGGGAATAGTATGAATATCAGCAGTTCACATTGTGCGCCATCATTGAACGAGGACAGGCTTATAAGGTCACACCTGGTATAGGAACCACATCATCCCCTTGATGCAGAACCCAAGCTAGAGCAAGCTGAGCTGGGCTGCACTGGTACTTCTTGGCCAGGTCTTCTATTTTCAGGTAAATCTGCTTGTTCTTCTCCAAGCTTTCTGCTGTAAATCTTGGATGCCTTTGCTGATGAAAGCAGGGTTAATTTGCATACGTATTAAACTGAATCGATAGAGGTCAGGATATCAGTTCCAAGGAAAATTCTGTTCATACCAGACTAGATACAGAAGAAACTTGCTGTGTCACTCCTCTTCCAGCAAAAAATCCGCGGCCGATTGGACTGTAAGGCACAATTCCAATCCCCAATTCTCTGTAGTCCATAGAGTACAATGAAATTCGTGTTAAATCAGAACCATACCTGAACTTTATTAATGAACTTGGTGGAACAGGCCTAATTTGTGAGTGACGGAGAGTAGAACTCACCTGCAGAGTGGCAGAATCTCGGGCTCGATGTCACGGGACCAGAGCGACCACTCCATCTGCACAGCGGTGATGGGATGCACGGCGTGCGCGCGGCGGATCGTGTCCGGACTCGCCTCCGACAAGCCGATGTACTTGACCTTCCCCTCCTCCACCAGCTTCTTGAGCTCACCAATCTGCAGCGATTTCGGCACAAGAATTCATAACAGCAACAGCAGCAAGCAGAACGAGAATGCGGCAAGGTGGCTAAGAGACGCAGACCGTGTCCTCGATGGGGACGGTGGTGTCGACGCGGTGCTGGTAGTAGAGGTCGATGTAGCCGGCGTCGAGGCGGCGCAGGCTGGCCTCGCAGCAGGCGCGCACGTACTCGGGCGTGCCGCACACGGTCATGCCGGCGGCGCCCTGCCCTATCCCGAACTTGGTGGCCACCTGCACCTGCTCCCGCGGCAGCTGCTTGAGCGCCTTTCCCAGGAGGGTCTCGTTGGTGTGGGGCCCGTAGGCGTCGGAGGTGTCGAAGAAGGTGACCCCGCGGCGGAAGGCGTGCGCGACGACGGCGGCGACGGCCTCCTCGCCGAGCGGCGCGTTGTAGGAGCCCGTGAGCCCCATGCACCCGAACCCCAGCTTCGACACCTGCATCGGGCCGGCGGTCGGTCGGAATCGAACCGAGCAGCCGAGTCAGTTCGAGGTAGTCGACGGAGGCACAGAGAGAGAGAGGGAGAGGAAGAGGAACGAAGTCAATCACCTCCAGCCCCTGCGTGCCGAGCTTGACGCGGGGAACCTGCGGCAGGGCGGCTTGCTCCATGGCGCGGCGGGCGGCTGCAGTCTCGGAGGATCGAAGGCTGCTGCCGTGCTGAGAAGTGAAGGCTGGAAGTGGAAGGGAACACTCGGCTCGGCAGTGCGGTGGGTAGTTGACTAGTTGCTGACAGACAGGGCAAAAAAGCTCTGCTTTCTGCTCAACGGCAACCAGCCTGTTCGCCGGCTCGTAAACAATCTTCACTTTCCAGTCGATAACAGTGTTTTTCGCTCGTACCAAGCTTACTGGCAGTAAATAATCCATGATAGATATAACCTCCCAAACAGACTGAACAACCCAGAGGAGGACGACGAGCAATGAAGCATGATTCCTGTGGCAGCTCTGTCACATCACATCGGCTCGTGACAGGGTGACGAGCCGCGTTTTTTGTTTGTGGCAAAGGTCGGTAGTAGGCTGGCACGAATACTTCTCGCCCACTGATGGTGACAACTACCGGCCTGTTCGGCACGCCTGAATTGGCTGGCTGGCTGGTGCTGGGCTAGATCAGCCAGCCCAGCCAGTCAATTCCAGCCTCGAGGCCAGCTAGTTAATTCCAGCCTTCAGCTGGTTTCCAAAAGTTTAAATAATGGCATCAACGAGATCAGGTGCTTTCCAGCCAATTATACTTAATGCTGAATTTAAAGTTTCAAATTCAAACTGCCAGCCAATTCAACCAACAGCAACAGCAACAAGTTCAACAACAACAGGCTCATAAAGTGCTGAGCTAAAATCTATACAAAGTTTAACACGAATCACAGGCACATCCCAGCCCAGCTTCACAGAATCATAAGTCTACATGCCAATGCTGGGACCCTTCTTCCTCCTGCTCCGCGAATGACTTGATATGAGGAGCATCAGGCTCGACTCCTCGCTGCGGTAGTGTGGGTAAGCAGCCCAGTTTATCCGGATGGTCTCTTTCCTCGCGCTGCTCTCCAACAAATACATAGCACATATTAACTTACCAACCTCATCTCACCTGGGCGACTAACTCAATATAATCAAAACGCTACGTACCTGAAGATCTGATCCAGTAAACCATCATCAAGCTTTGCACGTGAGAACATCTTGTAGGCCATGTCATCTTCCTTGTACCTCTTGAGAACTGAGATGCACGAGAAAGGGATATTAGAGAGCTCTAGGGTACCAATTAGCTCTGGAACATCTGATGTTGAGTTTACACCAAAATATTCATGCAACCATAGATAGAATACAGCAAAAGGCAAATGCCTTGTCATCAGTAAGTCGCCCCAACCAAGCAAGCGTCAAAGAGGCTTTCATCAGTAACAAGTTCACAGGCTATCAGTTACTCGCCACTGGTTCATTTTGCTGTGTGTTGATGTTATGATCTACAAAATGATTGATGATGCATGAAGCTTCAGACAAGCAGTAAACATGATCTTGCAATTCATAGAGTTAAAATCCATAACCAGAACACTTGTATTGGTCATAGATGCTAAATCGCAAAGTATCTTATTTATAAATGCGTGTAGTTAGTACCCCGGGGCTGGCGCCGTACCACTCGGGGTCAGCTGTAACCTCTCCAGTAAGCGGGTCACGACCTAGCTCAGTATGGGTCTGTCCGTCACGCCAATTAAAGTAACAACGTTTCAGCTCGTTGTACTTATTCTGGCATATTTTCTTGTTGTACCCGAGCCTCGTGACTTCGTTGAACTCATGAACGACACTGGTCCACCCTAGTGAGGTTGGACCAGTGGGGTTCCAGTGACAGAGGTCTTCTGCTTGATGATTAGGTCAAGAAGCAGAGAACAGGTGAAAGGTCCTAATATGGCTAGAGGGGGGGTGAATAGCCTATTTAAAAACTACAAATCAACTAGAGCAATTTGATTAGTAAGACAAATAGCGAAATGCAAACTTGCTCTAGCTCTACAAGGGTTGCAAGCCACCTATCCAACAATTCTAGTTGCAATGATCTATTTGCACACAATCTACTTGACCACTACTCACTAAGAGCTCTCACAAAAGCTACACTAAAGAGCTCCACTAGATATGTTTAAAGCACAAGGCAAGCTCTCAATTCTAATTACACTAAAGAGCTTGCTATATCTAGTTTGCGGAAATGTAAATGAGTAAGTGAGACGATTATACCGCCGGGTCGTGGAGTGAACCAATTACACGATGAATATATAGCCAATCACCGGGAGAATGCGAATGACAAGAGACAACCGATTTTTCTCCCGAGGTTCACGTGCTTGCCAACACGCTAGTCCCCGTTGTGTCGACCAACACTTGGTGGTTCGGCGGCTAAGAGGTGTTTCACAAACCTCGTCCACACGATAGGACACCGCAAGAACCGACCCACAAGTGAGGTAACTCAATGACACGAGCAATTTACTAGAGTTACCTTTCGGCACTCCACGGGGAAGGTACAACTCCCTCACAATCATCGAAGGCGGCCCACGAACAATCACCAACTCGTGCCGATCCTTCACCGCTGCTCCAACTGGCGTCAGGTGGTGGCAACCACCAAGAGAAACAAGCGAAATCAGCAGCAAGAACACGAATACCAAGTGCCACTAGATGCAATCACTCAAGCAATGCACTTGGATTCTCTCCCAATCTCACAATGATGATGGATCAATGATGGAGATGAGTGGGAGGGCTTTGGCTAAGCTCACAAGGTTGCTATGTCAATGAAAATGTGCAAGAGAGCTCCCTTGAGCCGGCCATGGGGCTATAAATAGAGCCCCAATCAAATAGAGCCGTTATACCCCTTCACTGGGCAAAACGCGCTCTGACCGGACGCTCCGGTCATATCGACCGACGCAGCGTCCGGTCGCCCGATGGACGCCACGCGTCACCAGCTTCAAACGCTGTTCGTCGATTTCAACGGTCGTGAAGCCGACCGGACGCTTGAATCGACCGGACGGACGCTGAAGCCCCCCAGCGTCCGGTCGTTTCGAAGAAGCTCCCGAGGCATGTTTTTTTCGACCGGACGCGTCCGTCCACTTGATCGACGCAGAGCGTCCGGTGCTCAACCCTAGCCACTGTATCATTGAGTCGGTATGGACCGACGACGAAGCGGTCGGTCCCCAAGCTACGGATTCGCGTCCGTCCACAGGACCGACGCCAAAGATCATTTCGATCAACTCCATTTCAACTCTTACTTCTTCACCCTTGCTCAAGTGTGCCAACCACCAAGAATTTTGCATCCGGCGCAATAGAAAATAGACATTTCATTTTCCGAAAGCGCGAATCCCGCCGAAAGCAAGCTCGGCGGGGGGGGAGAGAGGGACCCAAACCCATCTCAACCCCGCAAACACCTTGTGCACATGTGTTAGCATATTTTCACAAATATTTTCAAGGGTGTTAGCACTCCACTAGATCCTAAATGCATATGCAATGAGTTAGAGCATCTAGTGGCACTTTGATAAACCAGATTTCGATACGAGTTACACTCCTCTTAATAGTAATGCTATCTATCCTAAATGTGATCACACTCACTAAGTGTCTTGTTCACTAAAACAAAATGGCTCCTATATTTTATACCTTTGCCTTGAGCCTTTTTTTCTCTCTTCTTCTTTCCAAGTTCAAGCATTTGATCATCACCATGCTATCACCATTGTCATGATCTTCGTCATTGCTTCATCACTTGGAGTAGTGCTACCTATCTCATAAACATCTTTATAAACTAGGTTAGCACTTAGGGTTTCATCAATTAACCAAAACCAAACTAGAGCTTTCAACAGGTTCTGTCATCCCAGCTAGCACGGTCCTGGCTCAACTGATGCAAGGATCAGCATTGAAGGGATTACCCACATGGATGCATATGTTATGTCGTACGGAGGGTAGTTCCAGTACGCAAAGCTGAGAGTGGGTGACGGAAAAGAGAACTTGCCTTTTGGGTCCATTTGCGGCGTTTTGAGCGGAGGTTGTAATGGCTGCCAGCAGTTGGAGAGCAAGACGAAGCCGACGACGCTGCCAGTTTGGGCAGAGTTGGTTAGCACGTGACGAAACGTCCCTGAAATGTCTGCAGTTCAAACATAGAGCACACTTGTAAGATGTTAAACATAATCTGAAAATAGAACATTTGCAGTGGTGAAGAACATTAAATGTGTACTATTAAACATAATCTAAAAGTAGAATATCAACAGCAAATTCCTTGCCTCACATTTTGATCACTGGAACAGTAGTGTAGTAAATTCATTAGTTATACTTCAATGTTTAGTTTGCAAAGTTCAGGTGCACAATTTAGGACGACAAGCAAAAAAGAAAGCAAGGGAATACATAATATGCTTGCATAATCATACTACCTTTCACATTGCATTAAATATATCAATTACTAGTATACTTTGATTCAAAGCAAACAGCCACATCGGATGTACAAGGATGACTTGTACAATGTCAGCTTGATGTAGAGGTCCACTAGGCCAAGAGTTACTACAAAACATGCTTGGGTCCAATTTCCTAGCTGAATAATCACCGAAAAACTATATAACTACAAGGTATGGGACTGCAAGGAGAAGAAATATACTCAAAGGACCCAATGCTCAACATTACAATTGTACCAACTCTAGCAGTGCCCACAAAATCCCAGTAAAGTGTGTGGGTGACAGGGTGAGACTGTGATTGATCTGTAGTGGTTCTCATTCTCATCATTTGAAAAGAGCCAACATAAATAGAACCATTCTTAGATGGGCACCGTGGCAACTTGATTTGGCCTTGGAAACATGGATTGGCACATGGTATAGTAAGCTAAAACATGGATTGGCCTTGGAAACGGTGGGAGGTGGAGGTGGGCACTATGGCAACATGAGCCGGAAGAGAGCATGGATATGTCAGTCTTTTCTGAAAATAAAACAGCCGTAATTTCTTTCATTTATTTGCAAATCTGTAAAAATTTTCAACTTGATACAAGCTGTTCTAACACATATCAGCAACTTCCTCAAATAAACGTACATTCAATCTCACAAGATTTAGGGATTTCTATCCTATACATATAGGAAAAGACATGAATACTTTTTGGATCTCAGATCCGGTCGGGTGAGACT